TAATTTATCTCAAAACCCAGCATTTTAATTTCTCAGAAACGATCATTGCGGGAAAATTGTGTGCTGGGACTAAGATTTTTTAAGGATCGATGCGATAAAACGATAGTTCGAGGAACGATAGAAGCGGGAAAATGTAACATTATTTTATATGGGATGTATTCGGGACCGAACAAAACGGACGATGCATCCGGGAAAACGATAGTTTCGGGAACGATGGATAGAGGTTTCACTGTAAATACAATTTATGTAAATTGTCCAGTTTGTTCTTTTCAGTTGAGTATAAATTAAGTTTAGAATAATTATTTGGGGTTGATACTAAAATGTTTACAACTTTCTGAATTGAAAAGGTACTACTTGTTTGCTCAGACCATGAGCTGTGAGATGTGCGTGAGGGAGGTAGGGATGCTGTCTGCTAGTGGTAGTGGGGCAAGTAGGGGAACAGCTTTTTCTGTACTACTAAACACAAAAACATATGTGCAGAAATGCTGAATTCTTTCCCCACTCGTTTATTAAGTTCATATTCTTTTAAAATGTGTTTCAGTGTACTTATGGAAACACCAGTAGCTTTTTGTATGTGATTAACGTTAATAACATTGCCAATGTCAGCTTCTTTATTCGCAAAACTGTAAACACTTATCACCATTTCTTTACTTTGGCTGTGTATTACTTTATGTCTCCCTATTTTCTTCACACCTTTGCCCTTGTCTTGCATTCTGCTCATGCTGAGTAGAAACAACAGTGAAAATGATAGGCCTAACTGTAAATGGGCCAATGTTATTGAATTGGAATTGAACACACGAAGTGAACTCAGTCACGGCTCCCTCATAACTTGGCTCTGCTTACACCCGACCCACTGTTCGAACTGCAAATACCCTGCACATCTCAAGGCCATTGCTCATGTCCCAGCAAACGTGTAATGTTTTCTTTATCTGAATCTAACAGAGTATGCATTCTCAAGACAACTGTGACCTTGGTTAGCGTAGAGCATAATTTATTAAATAATATATTATGAAAATTTGTAGGCACATAAAGAAACACTAAAAAATTAAAAATATGTAAATTTATCATCCCACATGACAAGCAGAGAATTTTCACGGTGGATAGTACCCTCCCTTTTCTGCAACTGTTTCCATTTCCAGAACCTTTTCTTATCTTCCCCTCCTTTCACAAGATTTCAGAGCCATAGAGTTAGCAGGTGACCTAATAGTACCAGTGATCACAATTGGTGCTTAAAGCCACTGTTGTTTACAAATAATATTCACTGGAATCATGGTGATTCAGAATCCATTGAAATGATCATCTGAATTAGGAACTTGTGTTTTAGGCACATTATGGATGCCTCCTTCAAACCCTGGTACGCTGTTGGTTGACCTACTGGGTGAAGACAAGGAGTGCATGGCTGTAGAAGAAGAGATGCAGTCCACGATAAGGGAACATCGTGATAATGGGCACTCTGGTGGTATCTTCTGCCGCTATAACATTGTCAGGGTGAGTTCAATTTAAAGTACTCCACAGAACAATAAAAGTAAAATTCCCAATATTCTAATTGATAAGCCAAACTTGGTCTGGCTTCCTGAATGAAGTACCTGGGTTGAGGATGTTGAAGAAGAAAGTGCTAAAACAAATAAGTGGATGTAAGAAAATGGAAATAACAGGATTCTAGAAAGTATCGGATGTTTGGAACTTAATTTGTACCACATATTATTAGGATGGTCAAGTCCAAATGAATGATATGGATTGGGGCCTGTAGCATACATGTGAGCACAGAATTTTAGTTGAGAAATCTGAACGGAAGAAAGCATTTGGAAGATCTAGGCCTAGACAGAGTGTCATTCTTTTCAATTGAACAGGTACATTTTGGAAATGAAGAAGCACATATGATTGATGTTGCATCATAATGAAGTGTAAATTAAACTGACTGTAATGTAGTGGGTCTAAAATATAGAACTAGGTAATTTTTGTATGATTTTGGGGATAGCTGTGATAAGAATCTAACATTTAATCCCCCTCCTTTTTTAATGAAACTAAAATATCCTTTCTTATCTAATCACGAGAAAATGAATAAGGAAACAATGCCCTACAATATACTCTCTCTTTATTTTTATTTTTTTGCATATATGTTTTTAAATACGAAAGTACCGAAAAGATATATACACATTATAATATGGAATATTAAATTTGTATGTGTACATCTTTTTTGGGATACCTGTATATATTAGTCCAGGCTGCATTGACCGTACTGGATTATAGGAGAGTTAAACTTCCTCTTTGCTGATTGATTTTATTTTGTGTTTATTTGTTTCAAGCCCAGAAATGTATTGCTTGTGCTTTTTAAGAAATGTATCCTCCACACGTTTGTCACTTTTATGTTGGTAACTTCTAAATTATAGATTCATTCTAGGATTCATCATGTAGCTTATTCTGTTCCAGATCCAGAAGGTTCAGAATCGTAAATTATGGGAACGATATTCCCACCGAAGACATGAAGTTTCTGAGGAAAACAACAATCAGGCCAATGAAAGAATGTTGTTCCATGGTTCTCCTTTTATTAATGCCATTGTACAAAAAGGTTTTGATGAGAGACATGCTTACATTGGAGGTATGTTTGGGGCAGGTAAGTTGTATAGCCTTAAATCAGAATATTTCCCATTAGTTCATTTTACACTGAAATTTTATCTTTCGAATTTAGATACATTCTGTTTGTAAGGCCTAAGATCTGTGCTTTTGTTCCAGGAATATACTTTGCAGAACATTCCTCAAAAAGCAACCAGTATGTATATGGAATTGGGGGTGGAACTGGTTGTCCCATGCACAAAGATAGATCTTGTTATATTTGCCACAGGTAATGATAGATTTAATTGATTTTATTTAAATAACATTGTAACCTTAAAAGTAGCGCCACGGTGGTCTAGCGGTCAGAACACTAGCCTTGTAATCCTGGGGTTCCAGGTTCAATTCCCGGTGGTGCTCAGATTTATAACTTGTGTTGGGCAAGGCCGTGGTCTAGGCATCACAGAGTTTTCCTCCGGGGGCTTCCCCAGTTTCTCTGTGGCATCCCAACAATTACTCCACTCACACACAGAAGAAGGCAATGGCAAACCACTTCTGATCATCCTGCCAAGAATGTATATATGTATGAGCAGGTCCCTGACAACCTGAAGAGGATGGAAGGATCCTGTTCATAATATATGGACCTGTCATCAGACAGAACACTAAAAAAAACCTTAAAAGAAACTGAGCTTGTTAGAAGGATTTCATTCACAATTTGTACCCAGAAATTTTTGTCATATGTTGATTTACTTGACTATGTGCCTGTGTGGTATCAGTGTCCTCCTAATTTAATGCAGGTATATCACAACAGTGTTGTATTAGTCTGGTATCTTTGTATGTACTATTAATATTGACATTACGCTAAAAATATGAAGTCAATGGTAATAGTTCGTAAAGATACCGGGCTAATACAACTCTGTTGTGTAGGACACTTGATGATCTGCTACAGATGAAACACTTCTGTCCTGAACAAGTCACGTAATGTTGACATTGGTGTAATAAATTAGTTGGTTAACTTCTGATCGTCACATCTTAAAAGGTGAACAATGTTTGGTCCTCTGTTAACTCAGGGTTTACATTTATGTGAAGTCATATATCAAATTCTTGCAAACTTATCTGTATTTATAACATATTGTAAGTGTGTAGAAAGTATGCAGTGGTGTTATTGAAACTGTATTAGTTTATTCAAAAAATGTCTTTCTTCTTTTGTCAGGCACTTACTGTTGTGTCGAGTGACACTGGGAAAGTCATTCCTGCAGTTCAGTGCTATGAAAGTAGCTCATGCACCACCTGGACACCATTCTGTGATGGGACGTCCTAGTGCGGGTGGTCTTAACTTTCCAGAATATGTGGTATATCGTGGTGAACAGGCGTATCCTGAGTACCTCATCACATACCAGATTGTTAAGCCTGAAGAGACGGCAGTGAGTTCTGATGCAGAGGCCAGATGATTCCCTATCATCATGTCCACATCTGGTTCCGAGAGCTTGGAAACACGCAGACACTTCTGTTGCACCCATGTTGTCCGCAGGGTTTTGAGGTATGTCCGCCTGTTTATTACCAGATCTGAAGTCGACCAAGGATGTGGCACAGGTCTCGCCAAGAGAAAGAGGCAACGGCTAGCGTGGGGAACTGTTGCTGTCCCTTTGCCAGGTTAACAGGATAAGAAGGTGATGGTGATGATTTGACACCTTTCTGATTCTTGTGTTTGGAAAGGTGTCTGACCTTTGTGATATCTACCAGGAAGCATGGTGCTATGTTGTTACTAACTTACACTCCTGTTTCATGCGTATGTTACAGCTGCTGTGAATTAAAATATTATGTAATTTCAAAGTGATCTTGTTCATTCCTAAACAATAGATGTCCTTATTTGATTTTTATGATACATGGCATACATATAGAGAATGTTTTACGTCAGTACTTACAGGTATGTTTGTGTGTGTTTCCTGGCCTCTTTTGCAATTGGTATGTGAACATTAAACACATTTATCTTTGCTAAGTTTAACCAAGTAGGATTTGAGGTTCTCACAGTGGTGAGTATAAAGATGGCTGTCTCCACGGTTGTAACACTGTGTAGTCTGGTAGATGTTTATTGACATTTTATAGGTCCTTGCTGTCTCCATCAGGGCAGTGAGTAAGCCACATGTGTGAAATCAGTTTATTCTTCCTGCTTTCTAAATAGTCTCAATCTTTAAGCTGTATGTACTTTGTCAGTTTACATAATACTACATCAAACATTGGTTGTAATTCCTAAATTTTATGTAATCTGTTTTCTGTGGAGGTATTGAGATTACAAGTTTAACACTACCAGTTCTTGCAAAAATGCAACTGATTTGGCAGTGCCTAGTGATACTTTAAACAGTAAGTTGGACTTTAACCCTCTGACTGCCATGTTTCTTCCAGAAAATGTGAAGGCTTGTTTGATGGAAAATGCAGGTGCACAGAGGGAAAATAATGTGAAATATATTTCTTGCGCCAGAAGAATGATTCTCTCTTCATTTTAACATAATTTTTGGTCTCTTCAAATGCATACAAATGAGAAATTTTGTTTTACTGAGCCAGTTTCAAATAAATTATAATTTTATAGCTGTTTTTAAACTTTGAAGTTTGTTTCACTTAACTTGCTTTGAATTGACAAGTTTGATAGATTTTTTAAAACAATTCGTTTTTAACTTCTAAGAATTTTGCCAAACTCGAACCCTGACTGAACCTATGAAATGAATTTTGTCTGAATCATGGACTGTTTAAAATTGCTGTGACGTTAAACTTTCAGTAATTGATGTACTTTGAAGTTTGTTGCAAAATACAAAGTTACTAATTTAACATTGTGGGCATAAATTGCCACAGGTCTTTCTGTTGTTTCTGCACATTTCTGTTCATGCCACTGTCCACAGCAAGGTCTTGTGAGCCACTGAAATGGAACTGTCCCTCATGTTAATAGCAGAGTATATGAAGTACTCTTTCTGTAATATTATTCGATTCTTCTGGTAACATATTTTAAATGTTACACCTCTGTTTTACTTTGCAGACAAATTTGTAGTGAAAAGTTTATTTTCTTAATAAACAGTTCTTTTCTTGTAGGAAAATTATACATATCTAGCATATGTAGTAATGAAATGGTTTTGTATGCACATATAGGCTGGGTAGACAAGATAAACTATCAAATTCGAAATTAGAATACCCCGATTAGTGCTCAAGATACATTCCTAGCAAATAGTGTGCTAACTGAAACAACACTGTATGGGGTCATTATAACATTACATATATGGAGATGCAATCCTGATTATGTTATTTTTAACTTTATATATATATTATATGGTATATGAAGGATAAAGTAAAGCTCTCCTGCTATAAGACATGTAGGTGTTTGGGGGAGAGGATGCATAGCTCCTACTCTTTCTTGACCTTGGCACTAGATGGGGTGAGTGGTCAGCATGACGCCCTGGGAAAGGACCCTGGTACCCATTGGATAGGAGGCTGGGTGGAAATATTGAACAGTATCATGAATAACAGTCTACATCTGGGAAGAGGGGCCAGATTGTGGGTCCTCCACATATTTTGGCTGCTTCTTGATGTAGACATCTAAGGGTGACTACTTTTTCTTGAGTTGTCTCTCATGAAGCAATTCTCGGTAGCAGGAAATCATGTTGAGAACACCTCTCTTTGCCTGGCTGCTGCGCTCCCAGTCATGATTATTCTCGGTAAACTGGTCCATGATTTCCTTGATCTTGGTGATGATGTGACTGAGGAATTCTTTGGTGAGATCTCTCTCTGGTGTTTTCTTGGCTCTTCTGCATTTGAGTCTTCAGCCCCACTCTGGGTGTGATGCTCTGCCAATTCCTGCAGATTGTTAATGGTAAGACTTTCATCATGAGACTGCAATAACTCCTCCATATCATCTACAATGACATTCTCCAGTCCTGCTTCATTGGCCAGCTTGACGATGTCACTGACAAATTGCTGGTGCCGCTTCAAACCCCAGGAAATTGTTGCATGCTTCTGGTCATATCTTCTTCCAGGCCCCATTTATGCAGTTTTTGGTTGCTTCATCCCAGATTCTGATGTTATCTGTGCCCTTTATGATGTGATTGTTTTTCCAAAATTGTCTGATAGATTGATTATCTTTGCCATTTGCTTCTTCATCAAGTTGTCAGAAGGTGCGATGAAGGTAGTAGGCCTTGAAATTCAAAATGACTCCCTGATCCATTGGTTGGAGTAAGGAAATCATCGTCAAAACCCTTTAGAATTAAGGAAGTTGTGTTTGGTAGAAGATAAACCACTTCTACAGATACGCCGGTGTGAAGGGCAGATTGGCTAAGTGAATGTAAACAAATGTGGCCACTTGCGGCAGGTTGTGATTGTTGGGACTCTTGAATTTTGACTAGTGTATATTTTCTTTATTTTTTTATTTTCTAGTAAAAATAGCACTCAAAGATGTAAGAGTGGAATAATGAAACAGTGCTTTGTGGGGTAGTGCTAATTGAGGTATTATTGTGTTTAGAATTTTGAATAGTTAGTAGTTGCATTAGTTTCAGATAACTATGCTTTCGTACCCAGCCTAACCCCAATTTAATATAACTATAATCACTTTCATTTGGTACAATTTATGAAACTGAATAAAATAAGTGGTTATAATACCAACATTTGGCATGACTGAACTTAAAAATGGCTACTGTCTTCACTGCAAGCACCAACTTTGAAAACTAATGTTTTCTCATTGTGGATTTGTGTTTGGTCATACAGTTCTCTCTTCTTTTTTTCTTACATCCATACATATTTGAACCCAATAAATTCTGTATTGATTTTTATGAAACTTTTTTTGATAATAGTATTTGTTCTTGTGCATTGCTTAGACAAAGTGTGTAAAATGAACGCCCTTGCAATGGTCAGGTAGCTACTATACTGTGTGAAGTCTCTGTTTTAGGCTCCGTGTAACTTTATAGCCTTGTCAGTCCTTTTAGAGTGTGATGCTACTGCAATTATGTGGCAGTGTGGCCTGGTTATGTGTATAACACTTTACCTGAACACTGGCAAAATATAACTGAAGTAATGATAATTGTTGTCATATGGTTGTGATGCTATGTAGTCTTGCAAGTGGTTACCATTGTTTTGGCAGAAGATATTGCCTTCATCTATAAGATTGAAATAAAACTATTTTTACTCAGCATATTATTCCCTCAAAGATTCTCATGACATAATCAGTTGTGTCAGTCAGAATTTGGCTGTGAAAGAAGTCCATTTATGTATTTGTCGTAACGTACATATTAAATATGCATTCCCAATTTGTGTTTTAATGTCTCAGTTGTATGATACAGGACCTGATGAGTGGCTAATTTACTTGTAAATCTCTCGGTCATACACCTATAATAACATGTTACACGTTTGAGTTTTTTAAATTTTTTTCCCTGCCGCTCTCATTCAGTTTATATATTTCACTAGTCATGTTTTATACTTGATGCAAAATATCTCTGAACTTGAGCTATGTCACAGTAAGGTGAAGGTAAGATGGAAATGGTAAGGGGAGCAAGACAGTATTTGCTGTCACTTCATAGTCTTTTCCTCTCTCCTTGTACTTCAGCATGCATATTTGTGATGTCAACGAAGATATCTTGCGACTTATATAACCACCAACAAGACTATGTGATGTCATAACCAAGATGATCAGAACTCACAGAGAATGGAATTTAAAACTGTGACAATAACTTAGTCTCTTCCCCCCCCCCAGCATTTATACATGTTACTTGTATAAATAAGGAAAACATTTTTTGATTCCATTATTTCTGTTAGTGCCCATCAGATATATATTAATTGTGAAAATGTAGTACATGTACCAACTCCTTTTCTTCTTCACATTGCATTTAACACTGCCATAACCATGAACACATCCATTTTTATGTATACATTTTGGTTTAGGTGGTATTTTGCTGTAGTTTTACTAGACAGACTACTTATTTATAAACGAACTGGAATATTGTATGAAACGATTTTATTTTGTCTAAGGAATGATTAGGACAAGAGTTCTCAACCCTTTCCAGACCATGGGAAATAATCGCTTCCCTTTATCAACTCACTGGCTGCAAGGTTATAAATACGGGCATTTTATTGAAGTTCCTATGCGGTTTATGAAGAAAGAGTGCTATCAAATTAGGCATTCTGTTGCAAAATGGTTTACTTGTTTCCCATTAATTTCCTTTAACAAAATCTTTCATTAGTCAAATACTTGACCCTGGTTTGCTTTAATAATCTTCCAGTATCACCTTATTGAGATTTGCATGCATATCTACACATGTTCATGAGTATGTGGCATCATAGTCCGCAGCCTGTGGGCCATACATTGCAAACCCCTGGTTTAAGAAAAGAAGATGAATGAAGGCATAAAATAACATAAAGTAGTTTGAAATTAGATGTATTTACAGTTGCAAGTTTAGTTTGCGATTGTGATACCATGTAAACTTGGTTACCAGCATTTCTGAGGAATATGCTGCTTCCATCATCAGGATTTTCTAAAGATGTTCCTCTGGAATATTAATAATCACTTACAAGATCATATGGTGTCATAGACCACAATCTTATTGTGTAAAGTCAGTATCTTTGCTTCCCTTTTTGCTGTAGTACACAACTGTGTGTGCAACTAAGACTTGTCTTCATGAAATTTGAGCTTCCCATGTTGGCCAAGATTATCTTGTAAATTAAATCTTTGTGATAAAGTGATACTATACAAAATTGTGCACATATTGGCTACTTGTAAATAGATTAATATTGTGGATGTAGAACATTGTACAATACTGTTTTATCTCATTTCTTTTCTTACAAAACGTGTGTTTGAAACAGTTTTAATAGTCATTGCATGTTGATTTCAATACAAAGAAAGTATGTTAATAAATATTTACTTCTTTCCTATTGCATATAGTAGAGATCTATCAACATATAAAATTTCAGAACCTACACTGAATGACTTGTTGACACCCTTTTAATATTATTGGTATGAGGCCACCTGGTGGGCTAGTCATTAGCGTACTAGCCTAGTGTTCAAAAGGTCAACCCCAACTGTCTCCACTAATATGAAAATAAACTCAATAATAATGTTCAGACTGGCTCTGCGGCCCACCCAGCCGTCTACCTAATGAGTACCAGTGCTTTTTCCGTGGGAGTAAAGCATGTCTGCATGGTGTGGTGCTTAAATAAACAACAGAGACAACTTTACAAAAATATGTCAATATAATGACAACCAGTCAATTGAAGACAGCGTAGATCCCATATGGAAAATGTTGTGTATATCAAACATACCTTGGGCAGTTAACATTGTTTAACATAAAGCTTAATGAGGAAATCAGAAACTACAAAAATGTACTTAGTTTCATAAAGCTGATTAGTTGATATAAAGCCTTTTAATATGGGACAAATTCCACACACAGACATCATAGCCTCAGTTTCCGTACAGAATGGTAATTGCAGAATTCTCAAGTACTTAAATAATGTATGTATGCCTATACAGACAAACAAATGCAGACGTTCCTTACTTTTCTCTGGAATAAAAATCTTACATCTGTCTAAATAGAAACTGAAATATTTCTGTAAGATAAAACTTTGGATGCTGCAACTCTTGTGTAATGTGAATGTAGTAAAATTAAAAAGACACCAAAAACAAGTTTGTTGTTTTGCCATTGCATCCATTTCACTGACTGCTGTGATTATATACTACATTAAATTAATTTATAGACTGATTATATTATCTTACTGGTTTGTGTATTAATGGTGTGTACATATTATTTTTTTATTTTAAGTATCAGGTTCAGGAGTTTTATTACATGTGTATGGGAAAACTTGTTGTTTAAGCATCATGTAAATGATTATACAATCAATAAATCTGCCAAGCAGTGTTCTTGTGCAAACATGTATCCTGAAGAAATGTTAACCTCGACCTGCCAGAGTTATTGTTTCAGAATGCAGGACACTTGGAACTTTCTGAGGTGTGTGCCATCAAAGAAAGTTACTTTCTGACTTACTCCATGGAGCCAGGTCCTTCCAGAGAAACCAACAGTTGCTCAGCCACTTGTGAAATTCCCAACATTTTATGGTACCTGAAGGCTTATTACCATGTTCACAAGAGCTTGCCACTATTTCCTCTCCTGAGCCAGATGAATCCAGTCCATACCACCCCATCCTATTTCCCTAAGATCACTTTTAATATTATCCTCCCACCTATGTCTAGGTCCTCCTAGTGGTCCCTTTACTTGTGGTATGCCCACCAAATCCTGAATGCATTCCTATAATATTCATATAACAGGTTGTTAGCCTATACCCGGCCGCCGGAAGGCAAAGGCGTGTAAGCTGAAGCCCCGGCGAGTAGGAGGGCGCGGCGGTGTGCGCGGAAGGGTCAGGGCGCGAACCCGCCTGGAGCCGCCGCCGGTGCAGATCTTGGTGGTAGTAGCAAAAACTCCTTCTTGTAAAGTTTTGGGATTTCAGGTTATAAATGACGATTTATTAAAACTTTGTGGTAATTTATTAAAAGTGTTACTAACTTGCTTTCAAAAACAGGTACACATATTAACATACTCAATAATTTTCTGTAACTGATTTGTCGACATATTTAATTAATTATCCACTTCAAAATAAATATTTAATGTAACTTTATTTTTGATTACATAAGGTGTTAACAGTACAACAGAAATGTGCATGGGCTGTACAAAACACATCAGGAGGCTGTGGGTTAAGATTCCTTATTCATAACATCCGAATAAAACTACGAGGAAACAAAACCATTTGTAGTAGACCATTGTATTTATGTAGCAAATGTAAATGTAGAAATATGCATCTTAAAGTTAGGGAAATACAGAAATGAAGGATATTTAAATTTTAAGTTATTATATAATTTCCATTTCATGACTATAGAATAAAATTATATTTTGAAAGAAGGTCTGGAAGAGGTTCTAATGACATTTAAGAATACAAAATTTATAGGAAAATGATAGAGGAATGGCTGGATAAGTCAGTTTAGAAGAAACTCAAATATCGTGAATAGAGGGATTATACAACAGTCGTAAGTAATAAGTATCTTTAAAAATGCTGGTAAGAGAATTTGTAACAATTGTATGGTGCCAGACATTCTGGCATTTCAAAATCTATGTTTTTATGGCAGCATTTTTCAATGCTTGTCATGTTTAAAATGACACTTTGCAATTCTTTGACTCAACACCATGTGTGAGTGGCACCACTATTGATGGTTTTTAACTGCCAGTAGAAGGCAGGTTACTTGTTTCTGCTTGTTTAATGTAAATTTTTGGGATACATAAATAGAATTTAATAATTTACATCATGGAGAATGGAAAAAGTAATATTTCACATCTCTGCACAACATATCAAGCTGAATTGTGTCATTCTGGTAAGTACTGTTTGTTTTGATGCAGGAATCACTGCTCCACATTTCAGCTATGTAATTATAAGAAGAGCATAAATGACACTTATTGACAGATGAATCACCCATGTGTACTTCGGCCAATAAGGAAGTTAGGAAGTTTGCCATAACCACCGCTATTGGGTGCTAAATATTAGTTGCTAGAGATCTTCAAAAAGCTTGTTCACAGTATTGCAGTTTACTAATTGAGCAGTGGTGAAGCAGTTGAGATTAGTTTACACGAATGAGAAAAGTGGAAACAAGTGCCAGTTCCCATCTATGTCAGTATATTAATGATTCCAAGATGCGTTCACTTCAGATGGTGAAGTTCAAGTGGCAGCAAGCGTATTGCTGCAGATGTCCACTTAAAATATCAGATAGGCAGTCTTTAATTGTGAGTCTTCTGCCACAAGTACTTCAGAACCTACCATATTTGCCATTTTGTGGCATCTATGCAAAGCATTTGTGTCCACAGATATAACACTTTAAAATAAAAATTAGGAAAGTTAGGAATTCCCTTTTAAAGTATAAATAAACATCTTCCAAAATAAGTAAACATTAAATAAAAACTGTCTACCAAAGTGCTATGAAAGAATATTGAGTGAAAAACAAAATATTTGGGGTTTCATTGACAAAATGTCTGATGAAAGTAGAAGGTAGGTTTCAAATGTTAAAGTCCAGGGGCTGGAGAAAATAGCATCCTGAAGAGCTCTCTATTTGTACCAAATATGATGATAAACTCAAGGAGGATGAGATGAATGGGTCATATTTTGGACATGTGGGTGATGGAAAAATACATAACAATACTTTGGATGGAAAGACTCAAGGTGAGAGACCACTTGGGAGAATACTACAAAAATAAATCTTAGAGAAATGGGTTGTGAATAAGACCAAGCATTTGACTGCCTGAACATGCTATCAGCTTCACAAGGACTTTGCTGATGTGCTGTGAGGGAGATTGTGAGAAGTTAGGAAATTTATTGGCATATGTCATGTCATAAGTCATGATTAGTACCTGATGATAGAATGCAGTATTGACTACCAGTTAGTTTCAACTGTGAAAACATACACATATTTATGAATAAATTGTATTAAACAGCTTTGCATTAAAGCAGGTAAGAAATAATGCTTTACGAAAGTACGCAATATTATGTGAGTTATTACATCTATAGTACTGAATTATTTTTTACTTCAATTGTTCAATCGCCTCTCCGTATTTAGTGCGTCTAATGGAAGGAGAAACATTAATTGGATTTTGTAGCTGTAAAGCACACTTCCGAATTCCAGCCGTGTGGGAAATTTCGTCTGCTGTTAGGATTTTGCTATGTCCACAGTGCAGACAGCATGAATAATTCGCTATGAGTCATTACTGTTTATTAGGTTAAATATAATTTTCGTCTTAAAGGCCATTAATGTATGTCTTCTTTACAAGGCTTGTGGTGAGCATGATCACGGTATTAATTTTTGTGTGCATTAGGCAGACTGCATTTGATGAAATGAGAAACAGAAGTCGTGTGTGTATTTATAATTCCAACTCATTTGTGAGCATGTAAAAAATGCTTAGTCAGTGGTGATATTAAAGTGATAGTGTCCAAAAATTGATACTGGTGCACGTTTACATGTATGTTTTTCATGTAGGTTTCATAGGCACATAGATAGCAATTCCAATTTCTTGCCAGTAACTTTGAACTTTCTTGTATACTAAAATTACAAGTGATTAAAAAATCTAATTTTACAGTGGTTGTATAAACAACAAAATTATTCTATTAATATATACTCTGAATATGTTTCATTGTTTTACGTGTGATTTTCAGATGAATTGTGCCTAATTTATAATAACTAAAATCTTGCACACTCAAAATTACGAGAATTTGGTGGCATGTATGTGGGTAGAGCACTTACGAGGTACAGTCAGGAGTACTATAAACGATGTCATGAACGTTACAGCCCTTAATTTTTAGTCACATGGTGGGAGGAGAATGCTTTTTCTTCATTTGGAATAATGCTGATTTACGAAAAATAAGATGTAGAATATTTTCCCAAAGTAAAACGTGAAACTCATTGCTATAAGTGTGTTATTTTGTGTTTCGAGTTTTAAGATTTCCCATTTGTCGAATGTGCATGCTTTAATGTTGTCAAATTGAATGTGCACATGTTGTAATTTATATTACCATATTATTTGCAACACTTCTTCAGTAATACATTTTGATGAGAGATCTGACATGTAGTCTTATCCATGGCGGAGCTGTTATTTGTATATTAAGCAATACAATGTCAGATGCCCAGTAGTATGGAACCTGTGATAAATTTCAACAGTCAAACGAAAGAGACAAATTGAATTTGGATCTTCATGTGTGATGTGTTTTTACTGCCATCTTTATTATATATATGGTAAAGGAAGAGACATTTTGGGTCCAAGTTAACCCAACTGAACTTAATTTTATTTGGAGAAATATTTACATGTAATTGAAAAATATGGAATGAACCAGAACACTGATGTCAGTGTTCGAACTAATGCTACCATCAGTCAATCACAAGATCAGTCTCATGACTTTATTGCAAAACTTTGTATGTTTTGTATGTAAACAAATTTTAAGATGTAACTAGTCTTTTGTAGTAATGAATGTATGACATGAATGTATATTTTAGTGGGTAGTAAAAACTAATCACAAGAATAATGCTGAAGAACTATTTTGTTTAAATTTAAAACTCTAATATTCTCCTTCTCTTATGTCTCTTAAGGCCTTTTTATAAATAAATGTACGCTTGTTCATACCCTTTTCATTTTGCATGTATTTATTTTTAATTTGCAAATTTTATTTTGTGTAACTGGAGAAATTGTATTACAGCTGACACCTTACATTTACGAAGGAATGGTTATTTGATCACACTTCATACCAAGTGCAGAAATAATGTCAGAGGGAAGGAAGTTCTTGAAACAAGCTGCAATGCAGGTTGGAGCAGGTGGCTCAGCAGGTAGGGATAAGGAACAAATTTTATATTTTAATCTTTTTAAGATGTCTTCAAACATCTCTTCTTCCTGAAGATTTCTGTCTTCTGGGTTGTTGCGCTGTATAGACTGGTCGATGTTAACCAACGTTTCAGAGGTCATACTGCCTCTGTCATCAGAGCGATGACGGAGGCAGTATGACCTCTGAAATGTTGGTTAACATCGACCAGTCTACACAGCGCAACAACCCAGAAGACAGAAATCTTCATACTCACTGCTGTGAAAACCTCAAATCTTACATCCCTTCTTCCTTTTCAGTTTCTCATGATGTTCTTTGTTTATACTTTGCAACATCTTTCATGGCCTGTTGTTCCCATTTTGATATCTATCTCATTCTTGGGTGTTTACCTTGTGATAGATTTGATATATAGTTTAAAATTTTAGTTCTTATGCAGTATATTGATCAAAGTTTACAAATCCTTCCGGGTACAAATGTGTTTTAAGAATCTTGGCATAATGTTAATATAATTAATTAAATACTGTAACAAACCATTAGAGGTTAATTATAGAACTCATATGTCATTAACAATGAGAGCATTAAATTAGGCCATGCAGTGGAACTGATGATAGTTATAAAAAAAGCTCTCATTTTATAAGAATTGTTCAAATTTGATGTTCAGTTTTGTTGCTACACCTTTTTACTAACTCCTATGGACATTATATTGTAGTATGACATTGTACATACTTGTAAGTACAGTTAATGTGTTGAGGAGGAAAATATGAAATGCCCGCAAATATTACACCAATTCATATAATCGTTTATGAAAAGTTATTAAGATTCCAGGTCAAATTTGAATATCTCAACAAAATATAGCAAGATGAGATGCATCTAGTCAGTAAAATGTTGTAAGGTACATGATGTATTAATATGGATTTTGTTAATAAATTTCAGGTTTTGTGGAAGTTTGCATTATGCATCCCCTTGACCTGGTGAAGACAAGATTTCAAATCCAAAGTAACAAAGTCCTTGCCCCAGAAGATCCCACCTACTACACAGGCATTGTTGACTGCATGAAGAAAATGTATCGAAATGAGGGATTTTTTGCATTCTGGAAGGGTGTGTTACCTCCTATTTTAGTTGAGACTCCAAAACGGGCAGTTAAAGTAAGTGAAACTAGGAGACGTATCATCTGAGAGTGTACTAAGGAAGAAATGGGCATTTGATAATCTGCTTAGATTACAAATATTAACTAATAATCCTGTGATAATAGAGGTTTTATAAGAGAAGGGTGTTTTCTGTTAGAGCAGTATGAAAGAAATGACTGCTCTAAAGATTACATATGAGAAGTACATTTGGAGAAGAACAGTTAGTTTTAGAGGGAGCAGGTTAGCATTTGATTCATTTCTCTCAGTGAGGCAGATATATAAGAGATGGGAATTAAAACATTGTGGTCATAGATGGCAAGAAACCTGAAAGTTTTCAAACATTAGACAGTTTAAACATGTAAGTTTTTTGTCACTTATTTTGTTAATGTGCTAATGGATAAGACAGTAAGGTGAGCAGCAGAGGTGTAAGTGAATGCAATACCATAGATTATGGTGTATGTAGATAGCGTAGTTATATGGAAACCAGAGGAAAGCACATTAAGATATAAATTTCAGAAGGTTTGTACAGCGTGTAAATATGTTGGATTAAATGTTGTTTCAGGCACATATATGTGTAGTTATGAAAATTGTCTTTAAGACAGGGTGAAATGGAAATTGACAGCAAAAAATGTTAGAGAAGAAATTGCAGACAGAATATGTTAAGGAGGAAATGAGTATATCAAAAGAATGTGTTGTTAGGCAGTGGAGGTATGTATTTCTTTAAGATAATTTTAATGAAGTTATCCTCCCATTTAGGCCTAGGTCTCCCAATTGGTCTCTTCCCTCCAGGTTTTCCAAATAAAATTTTGCCAGTTTTTTGCATTTCTCATCCTTCCCATGTATGCTATATGCTCAGTCCATCTCATCATCTATTGTTTCATCATACACATAATATTTGGTGAAGAGTACAAATTATGGTCAATGTATAAAATTGAATTTGTTTGATTTCATTGCAGTTTTTTACATTTGAGCAGTACAAAAAGTTCTTCTTGTTTGGTTCGTCTTCTCCAACACCTCTGGTATGTTTCCATTTCTGTTGTTATTACATTCATTTGACTTGTATGTGGAAGAAATCTCATCTTGAGTGCACAGTCTGATTTGTTTGCAGACTTTTTCACTGGCAGGTTTGGGTGCAGGTGTGACAGAGGCAGTCCTTGTGAACCCATTTGAAGTAGTGAAAGTCTCATTGCAAGCCAATCGTTCTCATCTGAGAGAGGTCCCCAGTACATGGACAGTCACAAAGCGAATTGTGTCCACTCAGGTACGAGTAAGCATATGAAAAATGTCTTCTTGAATCTATGCTTTCTGTCCAAGAAAAGTGTATGAATATTTAACCTTTCAACAAATATTGCCATCTTAAACTGAATGTCATCTAACATGAAGATGGTGTCTTCTGAGTTGTTTTGCAGTGTAGTCTGATGAAGGCAAGGCGCTTATCTGAAATGTCTGTAAACTTACACCAGATGACATGATGCAACAACCCAGAACACAGTCATCTTTGTGCTTGCTGCTGTGAGAACCTGAAATCTTACCGTCAACTAACATGTTGCAGGGTATTGGCCTCCGGGGCCTCAACAAGGGTGTGACTGCTACAATTGCAAGAAATGGAGTGTTCAATATGGTTTACTTTGGATTCTACCATTCGGTGAAAGGATATCTGCCAGAATATGAGGTGTGTATTATGTAGTTTGAATTCTCACAAGCTTGCCCATTCATGCAATGACTAATGCTGTATGTTATTAGTGTGTTTAAAATTCGGGTTAGAATCCATCGTGTGGAAAGTAAATTGTGTTATCAATACACAATCTGTGACCAGACTGTTGCATGTATTAGCAGTAGTTACATGAACTTATACATAGTCCGACTACTCCTGTGAGCCACTTTCTCGTCTTGTGGCACAGGACAGCTGTTGTGTTTGATGGACTCTTCATCCTTCCTGTTGTTCTGCATTGTAAAAATATTTTTATTTGTAATTTTATTACTCTTTAGCAAAATCTTGGTGTTCTGAATAAATTATTTTAATTAATTTAGTAATACATCAACAAAAATATAGTTATTAGGCATGCATGTAATGTATCCATGCTGTCTGATATGTAATGCCATCAGTTGAATTATTTGAGCAAATGCAAACATTTCCATATTTTTTATATATCTTAACATTTCCATGTATGTTAACTTTTATTTTCATAATTTTGTATGTGCTGTGCTTATATTAGGAAATTGTTGTTCCTTTGATGGGACTGGTGTTATGAATTCCAAACTATATATGTCATTTGCTGAAGCATGCTGGTAATGGTTGAAGGTCTTTTCTGTTTACATCACATATAACTGATATTTAGAATTGTACTACTAAGTCAGAATGCTAATATAATGTGTTTATATATCAGATACAAGCTACATTCCAGATGAAAGGTTAACTCTGTTTGCAAGCAAATAATTTGTAAGTCTGTCACTTTGTTTGGTTTTTTACTTGTATTGGAGTATATGTATAGAATTACAACTGATTTTGAATCTGTATAACTGTTTCTTCATAACATAAATTCTGTGGCATAGCCTTTATCTAGGTTGCTAGGCAATGGCATATTTAAATTTATGGTTTGTGAAAGTTTACAATATTATTTAATCAGTTAGTGTAGTGTCATGGAATTTATTACACAAGACTTGTTTTGGTGGTCTAAACTCCACAAAAGCAGGACTATATCATTATAGTTGTGTGAAGTGGGTTGTCAGAATATCAGCTTGCTTTTATTTAATGTGTGTGTGTGTGTGTGCTAATTAAAATTTCTCACAAACAAAAATACCTCTAATAGTATGTTTAGTATGTATTTGGTGTCATAGATGTACAGATATGTTTGATATTGAAATAAGATGGAGATTATATTCTAAAAGTATGCATCTTGTACTTTTTTGTTTACAGGATCCTGTGCAAGAATTTTTCCGTAAGGTTGGCATTGGTTTTGTATCAGGAACTTTGGCATCTTGTGTCAATATCCCATTTGATGTTGCAAAAAGTCGGATTCAAGGACCACAACCAGTTGCGGGAGAAATTAAGTACAGGACTACTTTGGGCTCAATGGCTATTGTGTACAGAGAAGAAGGGTCAGTTTTATTGCCACTCTGCATTTATTCTTAAGAGTTCTTTCCAGCCTCTTCACTGCTAGTCTGTTGCAGCAGACAAGAAGATGACAAACTTTGAACTGAAATGTAGCAAGCATTCCCCATGTTTAGTCTGCTCTCAATTTCTTAATGCATGTGATTTTGATTTGCTGCTATCATTTGCAAATATTTTAACTTTTTCTGTCCTGTTTATAACTCTGCATTATTTTAATGTTTCAGATGGCGTGCTCTCTATAAAGGTCTCCTACCCAAAGTCTTACGTCTTGGTCCAGGTGGTGCAATCATGTTAGTAGTGTATGATTATGTGTACCACTATCTGACTTTAAGATTTCCAGACTAGATACATTGTGTCTTCATTTAACCCTCACTTGATGTGGTTTAATGGCTGCAGGAATCAACACAATATTCATGTATTGATCATGCCTTCAAGTGCCTGTAATGTAGATGTAGATCTTGCAGATTTTATTCTTTTGTATAGAACGTACCTGTTTTATTCAGTACATATACTGCATAACTTTATATGTTTTATAATAATATTGTAGAAGATTCAATTTGAAGAGGGTTACATATAGGGACAGAACAGAGATTTCCAACCTTTTCCAAAATTATGGTATTTAACTTCAGCTCACTTTTTTGTTATTCGGGAAGTTTCTTGCCGGTGTATTTTTGTAAGCTACATGACAAATAAGTAGCATTAAATTATTTACTTTTTAGTTTTATTATTCAGTTGTATTTGGACTTTTCGTGCATTTTAAATTTTGGTAGAACTGGTGTTTGTTTAAAAACAAATTTCACGAGCATGACTGAAAGTGATAGCCTCTAGATTAGGAATCAGGTTGGAACACTTGCTTGATGTTCTACCATTTATAGTTAAAAAACAATTACTGTAATTTCAGAAGTAAAGGAAATCGCAACAGAATACATAGACTAACGTAATAGTCCAGAGACAGAAATGTTTTTTCCTACTTGTTAAGCGTTCCTCCTTGCTGACTCCAGTGGCAGAATCTATCTGTATCTACTTCTCATTTCTAAGTAATGAGATGTCTGTGTCCTTTATTAACAAAATTTAATGTAGTATAGAAATAATTACTAAAAATGTCCACATTTAGCTGAAACAATAATTTATAAAGTAAGCGCAAGGTTGAAACTTTGAGATACAGAGTTTGTAATATTGCAGATACCATATGTTTTTCTTTCTCTTGGGATTAATTCAATTCCCAAAGCCATTGATTATAAGACATATTATTCATATGTATAATTTCAAAAGAAAATATTGTATATGACTGTTTAATTTTAACTTCTTAACCTTTAGTTTGACTATAAATCAACTTATGAAGAACATGGTTACACCTTTAAATGGACAAGTGACACTAGTATCAAAAAGAAATGCAAAGTCATTAGGCTTAGAAATTGTATTGCTTAATATTAATATTCAGCGTAGAAGGGCTTAGAATTGAATGGGACACGTCAGATTCTGGTCTATGCTTCTTATGTTTATTTATTGGATGAAAACTTGAATACCGTGAAGGAAAGTGTTGGATGTTCTATTAGATAATATTGAAGTAGTTGGTTTAGAAGTAAACGCAGATAAAATTAAGTAAACCCTATGTTCATATCTCAATAGACTGCAGGAAAATATTGTTATAGCTAATAAATGCTTTGAAAATGTGACATAAAGTTCAAATATCTGGGAACAATTGTAACAGATAAAAATTACATTCATTGTTTTGTATTGCTGTGAAGCTTGATCTGTTTCGTTAAGGGAAGAACACAGATCAAAGGTGTTTGAGAACGGTGATGGAGAGTATTTGATTCTGAAAGGGATTAAGTGACAAGATGCTGGAGGCATAGTAAGGTGCTCCATAATTTTTGCTCTTCAGCAAATATGATAAGTACCTTTAAATGAAGGAGATGAGATGGGCAGGACTTGTAGCATGCATGAAGGCAATAAGAAATGCATGTAAAATTTTGTTTGGAATTCCTGCGGGAAAGTGACTATTAAGAAGACCTAGGCATAGATTTGAGGATAATATTAAAATGGATCTTAAGGAATTAGGTTGTGGACTGAATTTGTCTGACTTGGGATAGGGACAAGTGGCTCATTCTTGTGAACGTGGTAATGGTAATGAGCCTTCATGTTCAATAAATTAAAGGGAATTTCTTGAGTAGCTGGGTGACCCAGGTTCTGAAGAAGGGTTGTACAGTCTGTTAAGGGCCGTGGCCCGTTGAACCCTACTGTAAAAGGAACTCTGCCATGTCTTATTTGTCAGTGTGTTACAAGTACCTGAAAAAGTAGAATGAGTTAGTCATGGGGCATCTCTGTGACCTTTTAATGAGCCCATAAGTTAACTTTGGTTTTAATACGTTACGTATGGGAAAGTGCAATAATTAAAGAGAAGTGTCGCATGTTTCTCAGTTAAGGTAGTGTGTTTGGTTAATGTACAGACGAATAAAATGGAATGAAGTTCCGAAGTATTTATCGTGTTTAAGAAAATCTTAAAATAATAATATATATCAATTAAAAGAAACAGGTATTTATAAAAAGGTGTCAGTAACCTATTTGTATATTAATTTCAGTGCAGCAAATTATATTATGTTATTGTTATTCTTTATTGTACAAATAAAATATTTAGCTAACCCAGAACATATTTTCACACAGAAATGTTAATACAGTGAACATAAAAGTAACATTTATTGTATTAAAAAAATTGTTTATGCTCCTCTGTCTTGTATATCGTCATCTGGGGTGTGTTGCCATGTGGTCATGTAGGTAGTTACCGATACATAAAAGGAATGAATTGTGCTTTTACCCTGAAGATGGAGGTGATATTAGGAAAGTGAATTTTGTATATCAGTGTATTTATACAATGTTAAGATTTAATACAATTAATTATTGTGCTAGTTTATGGTGCAAATAAAAGCTGCATCTCCTAAGTGAAATGTTTATTTTTGTTATATATATATATATATATATATATATATATATATGGATGTTTATGATTCCCACGTGCAAGTTTAATATACAAGTAAATTATAGTGAAAATATTTTCTTATAGTGATATGAGTTTATTATATGTGACTGAGTAAACATTTGTCACTTGGATTAAGAATGAAATCCAAGACTGCTACTTCATGACTAAGAAATTTGATAGAAGTTTGAAGGTTTTTGGTAATGGTACATCTTATTTTGTTTTGGGGGGTGGGGGGAGTAACATTTCATTTCAGAAGTTGGTTGTACTTCTATCTTCAGGTATGAAAGGAGGACAAAAGACTAATCTTTGATCCCTCTGGCAGAGCTAGTCTTGAACTTGGATTACATCTATATCCTGATTTTACTTTCAAAACTATTTTCAGATAAATAATCCCACCTTCTTTTATGTTGTTTGAAGTTCAGTTCATCCCCTCAAATTAAAATGGTTTAAATGACATTCCAGATGCGGTGGAGTATTAGTGGGAGATTTGATATATCAGTCAATATAGTGACTAGGTTATAGGCTGGAAAACATGGGTTCTGTTTCCAGCAGGGATTTTGCTGTTTTCCATATTATCTAGATCATTTGTGGTGCCCACCAAACCTCCTACTGGAGCTGATTCCTCATGGGTAAACTGGCTGCAGTGTGTAGCTGACCACTCAGCTATCTAGATAATGAGCAAAACATTGCAAATGGAAACAAATAGTTTAATTACATAATCCATAAGTAGATAAATATGCCATGTTCATGTTATATTACAATGTAGTGGTTTGCATTTCAAGTTCATGTGTCAATTTACATTCTTATTTTGACTCGAATGCATAATGTATTAAAGCATCATGTTGTGGTAGTATTTTAATGACAAAAGGTAAGATATTATCCATCTCTACTTAACAAGAAGGAAAAAAACCACAGCCCGACACTTGAACACAGCATTATAAAAAAAGCTACCATTGTAGAGACAAATTTTGAAAAATTGTTTTACATATAGGTTAAATTGACGCAAGTATGCCCAAAAGTCTTTGCTCGTCATAAAACGTTTTACATTCATTTTCCCACGTTATTATTAAGATTTTAATGTTAATCATAATAAGGTTTATTAACTGTTTCGTAGAAAACGTATTTTGGATTCCTGTTAAAATTAGAATTGTTTGGGCTTGGGGGTGGGGAAATTGGATAAGGAATAGCAGTTAATTTTTTTTACCGATTTCGTTAGGACTAATTGAAATTCTTAGAGCAGTGGAATATGATGACGTCACATATTTCCAACCAATGGTGTTTGGTATTGGATACTTTCGCAGGTAACATTTCTGTATTAGTGACCATGCGTTGTTTTATTACACTAAGCAACACCTAAATGACGTCATCTGACATCGAATTCCTGAGTTGCAGAAGGTTGCCAGTAGGTGCCGTTAAGTCACGAAAGGAGGCAATATGGTGGTTGATTGTTATTCTGTACCGCGTTTCCCAGGAATCGTTATTTACTTTAAAACATTTTAACTTCCTGTATGTGAGTACTTTATGTTGATAAATATGTATGCATTACAAGTAACGAGCATAATGATCAGGCTTATCATTAAATATATTACCGAATTATGAGCAGAACTGTCTGGCTGTCAGTTGGTGATGTACCTGTCCGGTCCAAGTTAATCAAGGATGTGAAATTTGCAATTTTCAGTTACCATGACCAAATGCTAGTCTTCTTGCAACCAGACTGATTTTATACACTTGAAGTAGAAAATATGTGCACTTTGTTTTAACTTTGTAAATGCTGTTTAACTTTCTATTTTGAATTAGAGGTTAATTAGAATGGATGTGCTTTATGGTCTATAATAATTGCCGTACATGTCATTACAATCAGTAACACATCCCGTTTCGGAATGGGCTGGAAAGACTCTTTTATATTTATTGTCACGCATATTTCATTTCCTTTCAGCTGAAGGTAGAACATTTTCAATAGAAATGTGAGGCTTTATGTTCTAGTGCTGTTTAATGTTTTTGGTAGCATACCAATATAATAGATATGATGACCATTTTCCTGGGTACGGTGGATCTGTGTTTTGACCACTAGCTGTTAATAAACTTCAAATTCAGCAACATTTATGGGGAATACAAAAGTTGAAATAGACTAGGGTTAACAACTTTAAGTAAAGCTGAAATTCAGAAATGAACACAAGTGATCATCATTTAGTAAATCGTTGCTTGCAGAGTCATGGTTGTAGATGAGTAGAAAATCTCTCAACTTAATATTAAGGAAACTTATTGTAATCATTTAAAACTTGTTTTTTAGTTACTGGAGACATGTTTTCAAAGAAAAAGAAGAAGCCACAGATTTCTCCACCAACAAACTTTGAACACCGCGTTCACACTGGCTTTGATAAACGTGAGGGACGTTATGTGGGTCTTCCTCTGCAGTGGGCAAGCATCGTTGGAAACAATCAAATCCTGAAAAGTACAAATCGCCCACTACCCTTAGTGGATCCATCAGAAATAACACCAACAGAAATTTTAGATCTAAAGGTAAGGTGAAATTAATGTAAGTAACCTCTGTGAAGTAGAGGCAACATTGTTTAGGTAACTAAAGTTTTCCGAATTTATAGTTTTGTATTAAGATATTAAAACAAAGAAGAAGCAAATTATAAAACTACAGATTGTTGAAAAGTATCTGATGCATTGGGTACAGATTATTCCATATAGATTACACAAACCATCTTGGCATTTGAGAGCAATGATTATTATGTACTGTAAACGATGAATTACAAATCTTGTCAGCACATAACCTCCTAATTGGCCATGGCTGGAATAAGACAAGAATCTGGATGCACTGTATGTCTGTTTTGCAGGTAGAAATTCAGCAGGTCTTAGTGTCTGTTAGAGAGATTAAATATTTCTGTTAGATCCAGTATAACACTGTCATTGAGCAGCGTTACAATATGGTGGTTACTGACAACAATTTCTGAATTATACTTACCAACCCCAACATAACTATTCCCAAGCCTCTTAGTCACTGAATTTTGGTTTTATATATGGTTATTAGCCCAAACAAATGAATCTGATGTATGCAGGGTAAGTAGTCAATGTATTATAAAATTATAATTGTGCCCGTTTTTAGTACAAGATGAATAAATGTGATTAATGAGATTTTGTTAACATTTTTCAAATTTTCAATGTGACTAGCTGAAAAATGGGCCTTCATAATTTTTATTAGGAATATTTCTGAATCTGTCCTCCTCCCTAATTTCTTTCCATCTCCATCTTCCCTTGTCTCCTTACAGTTTCCTTCCAGTCTGAAAATATTTAGGGAAGAGGCCATTTGGAAAACCTGGATGTAGATGGATAATTTTAAAATTGGTCTTAATGGTGGGATATGAGAGTGTGGACTGTATTATACTTGGTCAGAACAGGGTGCAGTGGAAAACTGCTGGGAACATAATGAATGTTCAGTTTTTATAAAAGGTATAACATCTTGATTAGCTAAGAGACTGGCAACTTGTCAAGGACTATTGTCCATGGAGTTTAATTAATTATATAACAGGTTATGGTAGGTAGTTTAAACAGCAGGTTGTTTTTAATTAATTGGCATTTAATGTTAATGATTTATAATTAAAAATTTGTTTTTGTTATACAGACTATAGTCAGAGGGGACCCAAGACTTAATGGCATTCCAAAAACTTCAAATGTTGCACGTTCCAATTCATTACGATCATCCAGTCCTCCAAGGTTACGAAGAGATTACAGATCCAATGCAAATGTTCCACCATCTGTTCCTGAAGGAGAGGTGATGAGCGCTTCATCACATCCGTATCCTAGTAATCGACGTGACCATCGAGATTCTGGTTATGTGAGTAGACTGATTCTGTAGGCTGGAACAGTATTTATATATTATTACAAAGAGTAAAATGTAATTGGGTAGAGTTGTTATTGTTTAAATGGGCATGACGTGACGTATACAACAGACTGGCAGTTTCTTACACCTCGTGGATGCCACGCCTTAAACTTTCAGTCGTGCAATCCTGAACTGGGAGAATGAAATGAAACAGAACATTTCTTGTCTGAACATAGTGCAGTACAAAGTTATTTTTATGCTGCATTTTCCTCTCGATTTTAAACATTTCACAGGTCCAGGTATTATGAATTATAAGATGAACTCTTCTTGTAGTGGAGGGAATGGAACAATATTTATTTCTTAGGATAGAGAGAAAAAGGGCCTCTGATTCAACAAATATGTTTTGCTATGGACCGTAACACCAGACTGAGTCACAGCAGATGAATAATCTTTCAAAGCAGCTTATTCATGGTATGTATGTGTTCTGAAGGGGTTTATTCTGTATGTGGAACTGTATGCCTTATGCCATTTTTACTTTTCTGATCTGCAAGTACTCATTGTTGTTGTTGATAAAATGTTCTATGATTGTAACCAGTGACAAAGAACTCTTGAGACATTTATTTCATTCTGAAGCTTAAATGAGATTGCTTATAGTCAAGTACAGTTGACTCTAAGACTTTGCCACTCAAAAAAAATCAGTATGTACTACACACCAATCCATATTTAGAATCTGTTGCATAAGATGTTTTTTTGCAGAGAATGTTCATGTATTTCTTCTGTTGAATTTTTAATGTTCTTGAATAGTATTTATAATTTCTTGTATACGGACACACACTACAGATTGAAAGTGTACTTTCCGTTGTAATGGTGATGTTTGGACTTTACAGTTAATTTTTTCCATATCATGAGTGAGGAATTTGGAACAAATTATTATTATTTTTTTTTTAGATAAAGTCAAATGTTCAAGATGGACCTTCAGCTGATTGGTCTCAAGGTCATGAAGTGAGGTCACCCATGAGTCCCCCAGCACAGAACATGTCTGAATACAGAGGTCTGCCTCCTTACCACCAGAATCATGTCAATGGCAATCTACCTTCACAGGTAACAAAAGAGGCTTATATTGTATGTGGGCATTTTTATACAACACACATAAATATGTATTTACTTGAACTGCTGGTTTCATTTTGTCCTATCCGGTTACTAACAGATAGAATTTGCTTTGATGTTACTTAGTGTCGTATTTCTGAGGTGTGAAAGAATGAAGAGCAATGTATGAGTGAGGGAATAGATTTCTTTGTTCAGAACTCTGTTATTGACCTCTGTGTGTGTGCTGGTCTGTATCTCATTCAGATACTAGTGTCAGTATTGTAGACAATAAATGATCAGTTTTGTAAAATGCAGTGTGAACATTATTCCATTCCGTCTTGTGAAATTTAACTTTCTTACGTCACCAGTACCAACATGTTGGTAATGAAAACGTGTGAGGTAGGAGAAATAGCACCTTTTATTGCAGTGGAATGAAGTTTTGTATGATGATAAAACTTTGAAAAGAATGCACTTGTATTAAGTTAGCTTTACTTTAAACATGAAAAGTAAGGACTACTACCGTATTTATCCAGATATGATGCACACCTTTTTTCTAAACACAAGTAAAAATGTATAAAGTAATGACTGATCTTATTCTGTTATATTGATGTAAGAATTGGGCACTCAATAGAGCAAACAAAAGGAGAAGCGAAGAAATGACCAAAATGATATTTTTTAGGTTACATCTTATGACATGACATAAATATTCACACTAAGTGATATTTCAGATTATCATTGTGGCTAGTAAGAAAATGGCTGTCTTCTGGTTTCTTGTATCATATAGTCTGGAAGAAGTGTTTCAGAGGTGCTTGCTTGCCTCTATCATCTGTGCTGTGATGACAAAGACAGCAAGCGCCTCCAAAATATTGGTGCATTTCTCATGATATGTGGACTGGTGTTTAGATTTAATATTGTGTTTGGTGTTGAGTTTTTATTGATTTATATTTGTTGCTTTTAACTTGGGGGATGTCATTTTCATTATTGTTTGTTGTGGGTTGAGCCATTCATTGTAACTTTGTTGTCGTTGTTAAACCATAGTCTGCATAAAAGAAGTGACAGTATATTTAATTGTAATTAAATAATATACATTTATAATTGACACTTTGTCCTCATTTCATGATTATCAATTCTAGTTTTCTTGCTGGTAGCCAGACCATTTATCTCAGTGTTAAATTTCCTCAGTTTAAAATTTTTCCAAATATGCAGTATAGTTTGGAGCAGTGATGATATAGTTACAGTAAGGTCTTTTTAATCTGTGATTGATGATCTGTTTATAATTACAGTATATTTATTTGAATACAAATTTCAAAAGCTGTGTCTGCTGAAATATATTTTTTTTAATTAATGCTTTGAGTGGTGATGGTACAGTATTAAAATAAGAAACAGATATGGTTAGAATTTCCTTGAGGCATTTAAAATTACAGACTCCTCACAACAATCTTGGTCCACCAGTCTCAGAAGGTCCAGGCCCATACAGTATGGGACCAGCATATCCAATTGTGAGACCTCATCTTCAAACGACATCTGCAACCAGCTCTACAGGTCCAAGTCCACAGCCAACGCAGTTGCAACGACCCATGTCTCAACTCGTGCATCAGGTTTCACACAACATCAACAAGGTTAGTTTTTAGGAGGTACTATATTTTTCCATGTTTCTTTCATCCAATTGAATCATTCTTTAAAACATAATAGATTGGAATGAAGCAGAAAATGTTAGAAATTATGTATCAGTTTCTGTTGGATGAGTTCCGGTGTTAGGAAAATAAAATACTCTAAAAAGAGAAGCAATATATGTGAAATAGAAGCCTGCAGTGTATTTTCTGTGTTGCAGCCTGTACCTGGAATTGGAGGCGACCATCCCCGTGTTGCAGCACACCCATCACCAGATCAGAATCAAAATGTGAATGTGAAGCCATCAACTTCCATAGCTTCTGTCGCTGCAGCAGCCAGTCAGGCTGTTGCCAGCAAGCAGCACCATGAACAGCAGAGGCTTACACATGAACAAGTATGTTTCATATAGAGAAAGTACGAATAATTAAAAACATGAATAATAAATTGTATTATAATAGATAGATTCTCAACAGCTACATCAGGCTGAACATGTCATTAGGATGGGGAGTGTAAGGAATGTATACATAATTTTGGAGTCTAAACTTCTTTTGAAATGTTAAGAAGATCAGGGGTCAAGAAGAAATGAAATGATCTTAGGTGGATGGGTTGCGAGTATGAGAGCTGGTTGAAACTACAGTAGATGTCTATTATGAGAGGCCAGGAAGTTGAGAAATTGTTGTCATAACAAATACTTGTTATGAGCAGTTAAACGTCTGAAAAGGTAAAAATTACCCCTCCCCCTCAAATCAGGCAACAGTTCTGTTTATTTTGTATTACCAATTTAATTAAATTTGTATTCATAAGTAAAAAAACTGACAGTTTACACTTATCGTAAAAGAATAATGTGGATCTGTTAAAGTCCCTTTTGTCTTAAGTTGTGACACCATGCATATCACGATTTATTATTTGTGGTTGTGAGTGACTGTTGTCTCTTACATTGCTGGATGCTTTAGTTGTAACATGCAATGCTTTCTTAGTGCTTTGCATATTTCTTCATGGGCAGAAGGCTTTTTTTAATACTTTTCACAAGAAAAAACACTTTTTTGTGGTGAACTTTAATTTTGGCAGTACATTGAAATATATCTTGAATAAATATGATTAGATTATGTCTCTTATGAATGTGGTAATGATCCTTTGGGTTACATAAAATGTGGAGAACTTTTTGACAATCCAAGTAACTATAAGCTTATCAAAGACTCCACTTTGTAGTTGCTAGCAACAACACCTGTAGTTATAACAGAATGTTTGTTGCAGTTTCGTGCTGCTCTGCAGATGGTGGTCAGTCCTGGTGACCCACGTGAAAATCTGGAGCAGTTTATGAAAATAGGAGAAGGTTCAACAGGTACTGTTTGTATTGCTGTTGATCGCACCACAGGAAGACAAGTTGCAGTTAAGAAGATGGACTTGCGTAAACAGCAGCGTCGAGAACTCTTATTTAATGAGGTATGGTGCAAGTAACTTATCTTTTTATCTAAGCTTTGTTATGGTATGCTAGATTTTTAGGTTACCCTATTGTCATTCTGTTTATTTTATTCTTTCTGCTTGTAATAATAATAATCTGTGGCGTAACAGCCCTCTGAGAGCCAAAGCCGACGAGCTGGCTGCTGGCCTCACGTTCACATGCCTAAGCAGAGGTGAATGATCATCCAACCAGATATAGGGCGACGTGTGGTCAGCACGACGAACCCCCAGCCATTGCTAGTTTTCACGACCGGATTACGCTAGCCATTGTAGCTCCCCAATTTCCTCATGATGCTGGGTTGGCACCGGTCCCATACACTGGTCGAAAATCTCATGAGAAATTTCTTTCCCCGAGACTCGAACCAGCGTGCATTCTGTATCACCAGTCCGAAGCATGATGCCTCAGACTGCGCGGCTACGATGCGGAACTTTCTACTTATAATACATACAGAAAATTAATTCAGGTGTTTCAGAATAATATCTAAAATTATCACAAAGCTTCACTGTAAGTAACTGATCAGTTGTTTAATAAGTAAACTGATTTGAGTCATTTAGGCACAGTTCACAACTTTCGAAATAAATGAAACTGCCCAATCAGCCAGCTGTCAAAGTGTACCAGTGGAGACGATAAAATAATTTTGTTTTTATTACCTCAGTCCTGTTTTTAATTATTTTTTATTACCTTTCTTGGCATTATTATCCTTACCAGCCCTGTTACATTGTTAATGAAGTCCCTAAATATGGCTTATTTTTCAGTGAAAACTCTTTCTTTCCAGGTGGTGATCATGCGGGACTATCACCACCCAAATATTGTTGAGATGTATGACAGTTTCTTAGTGCAAGATGAGCTGTGGGTGGTGATGGAGTTTCTAGAGGGCGGTGCACTCACGGATATTGTTACACATGCTAGGATGGATGAGGAACAAATTGCCACCGTCTGCAAACAGTGTTTGAAGGCACTGGCATATCTGCATTCACAAGGTGTAATACACAGGGATATTAAGAGTGACTCCATATTGCTGGCAGCTGATGGCAGGGTATGTTACATGTGATGCCTCTCATTTAATGTGGGCATTGCACTTCACGCGAAATTAATATGCCATATTTATCTTAATGTGAGATTTTTTTCTTTCTCTGTATTGTGTGGCTCCAAATCACAAGCTTCATGGCAGTATCATACAATGTTGCAACACAAACAGTGTAGCTCGGGCAAGTTGAATGTTTTACAAGACTTTCCACTTCAGCCTGCTGTAGCATTTTCATTTGTAATTAGATTAATTAAATATTTTGAATACCGCATTCTTCATTTCTTGATGTAACAATACGTTTGTAATACATTTGTCATGGCATTTTATTATTTTAATGAATCAAAAATACCTCAGTGTTTTTCAAATTGTTCTTCACCATGTAGGTAAAAATATACCTTGCTATGAATTTATGTTCTGCGCGTTCTACAAGCTACGTCTTACATGAAATGTAGCTAAAGATTCAAACTGTGTGTTTTTAAAAATCACATTTCACTTGATCTCTTAGTTTATGATAAAATAAGGCATGTGTTTGTGTACTGTGTACACTTGGTAGATTTTGCACCGTGACTGGGACCATGTAACATAATACAGTTAAGTTGTTTGTTCAGTTTCTTGTGTTTGAAAATGTCATTTTGTCCCTCATGCAGTCTGCATATTTTCAGAAATGTTGCTTTAACGTGGGTAACTGGGATTTGTTACAGGTAAAACTATCAGATTTTGGTTTCTGTGCACAAGTATCGCAGGAATTGCCCAAGAGGAAGTCATTGGTAGGAACACCGTACTGGATGTCACCAGAAGTTATTTCCCGTTTGCCGTATGGCCCAGAAGTGGATATCTGGTCTTTAGGTAACACTGAAATAACTGAGATGATGCAACCTTGATATAATGAAAATTTATAATATTGGTGAAGTTCTCATTCCACCTGGTACTTGTAATATCTGAAAATGGTTGAGACCAGTAATCTCCTGGTCTGTGTCTTCACATCTATTTACGTGTATCACAGTATAGCACTAATGATTAAAAACTGTTGATGCAGTGTTGAAAAGATTTATTCTTTGTTGACGAGTTGTTATGAAGACATGAAAATAATGAAGAATAATTCTACATTCTTGGAATGTGTAGCATCATTTGAATTGAGAATTTAAAGACATATATATATATATATATATATATATATATATAAAAACATTATTGTGTTTGAAACGTTCAGCTTATTAGGATCCATTCTGTGGAGATAAAGGTCCTATGCACATTTTACCAATTATTGACTGTAGCTTACAAAAGTTCATCAGCTATGTTACAGACTAGTTCTAAATGTCATGATTGGAATTATCAGACTTTCATCAGACAGAATAGCTGGTCGTATTTTGTTATTGTTTTCGTTATTGCTCTTCAAAATTGTGGAGTGCTGAAAATGTAATCCGTACTGTCTTTGTAATTTGCTCTTTGACAATCCATATTACATATTATATGAACATATTACTTAAAACTTAATACTGAAGTGTAGATACTTCCATTTTATTGGCTCAATTAAGACTGAACACTTTTTAACTTTAACAGTTCAAAGAAAAATGTAAAAGATTACACCTGGACAAGAACTTGCTAAGTGTTTCCTTCAAAAACCATCTGCCAAAAGAATTAGGGAACTTTAAGAGGAACCATCTGAAACAAGTGACAGGTTTCTGTCAATTAAAGGGACACTATTCAAACAGCTCAGCTTGTGAGAGTTGTCACAACAAAGAAGAAGCAATTAGTAATGGTAGTGTTTCGCCAAACATGCAACAGACAAAGAAGAGACAGATAGACTTGTATATGACTGTGAGGTCTTGGCTGATTTAAGATGTTGCCACTTTGGATCACACTTCGTGAAACCAAATGATAAACACAAGACTCCAACTAAGTAAAATTTTGCACTTTTTCGAAGATGTAAGATTGCTAGAGGGCTAACCACAGAAGAGAATGCACAATAGATGATAACAGTCATGGTGCTACCCCTTATTGATTGATTCATTTATGTTATTCAAAATATGTTTGAAAAACCTTCATTAACAGTTTGAAGTGTGCCTTCAGCATGATGTCTGTCAACTTCAGTATGTCACATAGGTGTTATTTTATAATGTGTGATTATTTGTTGAGACTGGTTTAATTAGAATTAGAATTACTTCATTTATACTAGTTTTATGAAATTTTATTGAAACAGTTGTATGTACCTGAGTCACTCTTAGTGGTATGAAAGAACAGATAACATTCTAGTAAGGAAAATACAGAAAACTGGATTCTGAGGACATTATTATTGACAGAATCCAAACATTTTGGCCACGGAATGTTGTTATTCAGATGTTTCACTTTCCTTGTACAGGCATTATGGTAATTGAGATGGTAGATGGTGAGCCACCATTCTTCAATGAACCACCACTGCAAGCTATGCGCAGAATACGTGATATGCCTCCGCCAAAACTGAAGAATACTCACAAGGTGAGTTTTGTGATTGATGAGAAATTATAACCAAAAGGAACAAATTGAAACTGTGCTCTTGATGTACTGTACAGTCTCAGACCTCAAGGAAGTACTTGAATCCTGCTGTGCATAATGAATATATATTTTGGCAGCATAATTTTCTTCTTCTTATTCTTCCTAAGAATATTACACTTTATATACGTCATCTGACAACCAAGTTTTACCCTCAACATCTTTCTTCCCACACCTCTTCCTCAGTTTCTTCCATTTTCTTCCTTCCTTCTTCTGTATTATATCTCTTCCTAACTCATTGTTTTCCTTCTTGATCTGAGGAGGGAGCTTTTCCGTGTTTCCGTTTATATGCATGTTTGAAATCTACTTTGGGATTCTCTCTGCGCTCATTCTTAAAATATGTCCATACCATGTTATTGTGTTATTTGTTAATTTACCAAATTTTATCTGGTTTCTTATGTAAGTAACTGATGCTTAAACACTTAATTGTAATTTTCCTTACAACCGACAGTAAAGTGTTTTTGTTAAAATTTAGGCAGTGTTTACTGGAAACCACAGAACTGTACTGATTCTAGCTGCAGATTCTTGTGCTCTTACTGCAGTATGTTACACTTTCTGCTTCTGTATTTTTGAGTATTGTGTTTCGCCAAATAACTGCCTGTTAAAACATGCCCTCCTTCTCATTTTATTAACTGTTATAAAGATTTTGAGATTTTTTTTACATTTTTCTTATTGTATAATGATTCATCTTAATATTTTTCACTTTAAATTATTTATTATTTAGAAGCTTCAGATTTTAAGTAGCATGTTTATTATTCATGTAATAAGAAATTAGTTGCTATTTTTCATGACAAAATATATTTTTATTAACAGATCACTCTACCGATTAATCAGTCGATTAATCAAAGAAAGGTAAGTAGTTAATTAAACATATTGCTTGATTGATACTTCTAATACAAACTAATATCATAATATACATAGATTCTTGACGGGATACTCAGTAGATTTTAAAAAATCTGCTACAGTATAAAATTTTAACAAGTTCATGATGATTAAGAAAAATGATGTTGCTGTCCTAGGTTGTGATACCATGTGGATTTGGAGGAAGGTACCAATTTTTTTGAGAAACATTGGATCTGCCAATGAGTTCACATGGTGTCAAACCCAGAACAATAACATTGTCATCTTTACCATTGTGAGAAACTCAAATCTCACATAAGAATAAGTAATTGATTTGCTTTTGACTGGCACAGTGACATCTCATCAAGCTTAATGTGTTGGACACACAGCTGATCTGCTTTTGATTTGTAGCAGGGAAACTGTTCTGGTTCATATTCTATCCGGATTCATTGATTTCTCTTTTATTCTTATTGTATTTCACTCTCACTAGTAATGATACCGATGACCTCAGTGGTTTGTGCAAATTTACATAGATAACTTACATACCAGTCAACCATATAGTCTATCTGTCATATCAAAATTTAAAGCTAATTGTTCTGTTGATTGAAACTGAACTGATTAAAATTCTTACTTTCTAACTGCTCGTGTGTATGTATATATTCCTTTGTAGACATTCTGTACATGAATCATACCTTGTGGGGATGTAAGATCAGTCTCGGCCTATTCCTCCCTTCTTTCACAACTTAAGAGCAAACCAGATTTGATTCTTAATGTTTCTGGGTTTTTGGTTTGCACATTTTCTTTTCTGTAGTTTGTATCTGAACAGATCGTTGATTAAAGGGTCCTGTAATTAGCAGGATATGAATTGAAGATACTGGGATTATCTAGCTTGTCACCCTGAACATTCTGCTTCATAACTACTTGTAATATCCATAGTAACATAGAGTCTAGTCACTCAGGTAGATTTATGCTGTTAGCAGTAAAGAGGTAAAAGTAGAATTTGTACATTAGGTAGCACAAGGGAGACATTACAAAGTAAGAAGCTTAGATAAACCAGAACAGCCTGAGATTTTGTGTTTTACTTGATATGAACTGAGAAAATTAGTATTTTTGTTCAAAATTTTCTCACAAGAATTAATTGTTTTGTACATACTACAATTAATTAAATGTCTAGAATTATATCAAAATTAGTTGACATTTTTTTAAAGTACTAGGACTTAAACATTTTATGGGATGAGAAGAAGTAAAGCTGACCTTCTTCATGCTAATCTACCTAACTGCATAACATGTTACTAAATGAAGATTTTATTTACAGATACTAGAACTAATTAAAACATTCTAACATTCATTGTGTTAAAGACCTTAATATATGATGTACTTTTCATATCTCAGCTATTTGAATATAGTTGTTCTGAGCCTTGTCCTTTCACTTTGTTTGCTAAGTATTAGAGTAATAACCTCATATATTTTCCCATAATTCACATAAATATTTTTGCAGTCCCATTAACTTTCTTACCATTTGAGTGGTTTTTGTTCCCACAAAATATATGTTATTTCATTAGAATTTACTGGGTTTTGCTTTTTATCTTCTTTTGTCTTGAAAGCATTATTTTAGCTTTCAATGTGCATTTGCTTTCAAATTAACTGTTACCATTTAAATTGTTAACTGAGTCTTCTGTGTGCGCTGTGGTTGGGTGTGTGTGTGTGTGTGTGTGTGTGTGTTTTTTTTTTTTAATTTGCATGTTTGATGAGGCATGATGGCAGGAACACAAAAGGAAAGAAAAACCATTTCCTTAGAAAAATAACTCATCTCAGGACATGACACAACTTGAGTTATCAGTATCGGCTCTTGATTGTGATAATCAAAAACCATCATGTCATGTCATGAAAATGCACACCATGGGAGATATATTATTTTTGAAAACATAAATACAGGTCTTATTCTTAGAAAAACTTTTGTAGTGTTTTACAAATTATTGTAAATTGGCTCTGTGTTAATATATATTTTTAGTCTCTGGGAATTATATGTTGCAAAAATGTTCTTATCTAGCTTAGTAATTTACCTATGTTATTTGCTGAGCATTCCAGTAGAGGTTCGAACTAAGCGTGTGATTTTTAGAAACTAAACATTTTGCACTCTACATATGGCTTAATTTCTTAGTGTTTTAAGGATGGGGGAACATTTCAGCTAAGCTCACGGCAGTCTCATATGAGAAATTGTGTTATATCATGCTCTAGGTTTTGCAATGCATTTAGGCAAAGTAATAATGACACGGTATTGCTTCAGGTGTCTCCAAGACTGCAGGGTTTCTTGGAGCGCATGTTGGTGCGGGATCCTGTGCAGAGAGCAACAGCAGCTGAGCTGCTGCAGCACCCATTTTTGCGACAGGCTGGCACCCCTGCACTGCTCGTCCCACTTATGAGAGGCTCTCGACACAGTAATTGCTAAAAGTACTTCAGTGCCAACAGCATTTGGTTCCAGTGTATCCGCATTAAATGAGGATTCACTGTTCCGTACTAAACAGTCATTAATTGCATTGTTTTATCTTACTGTAGTATACAGAAAGAGCAAACATTTAGTGAATATGCTACAGGTTATAATTAGTTTCTTTTTATCTTTCAGTGATATGTTGAGGCAGTTAGTTTGGCATCTGTAGATGGATGGGTTTCTCCCCTTTGTACTGATATGCCTCAAATTCCATTTTATTCTGAGACAATACATTCTTTTATAAGGTGTCTCTGTTATGCACTGTAAATTGATCCATGCTGTTAAGTAGTCACTGTCTGTATTACATTTTGGTAAGTGACTTTTTATAATATTTATTACTACTATAAGTGTTAAGTTTAATTGTTTTATAAAGAAATTTCAGTGTGGTAGGACAATGGATGGTTTAAACTGTTTCTGTATTTCATGCCCACTGAATGCCATGAACATATGGATTGAAAATGTGACTTGTATTACTGAAGAGGATCCACAAAGGTTTGTAGTCATGTGTGATATTTAGGATTTTTTAAATTGTTTTTGCATATGTATAAGCATGAATTTTCTATATTTTTAAAGACCTCCATACTGAGGCAGTTTGAAACTGGTACAGTATTGTTAGGGATGGCCAAGAGGTGTTGCTTTTTATTTTGTCGTATACTGATGGCAGGTGTATGAGACAATATATGAACAGAAATGTGAAGTGTTCACATGTGTATAATTATTAATGATAGAATGCAATGTATGTGCCTCAGATCAAACAGAAGTGTTCCTCATCTTTTCCGTCTCAAAATTTCAGATTATATAATTGTTTCTTCTTATGAGGAACATATGTGTATGGCCTTTGTCATAAGTTTTTACAGAATTTTGCAGAACGTCATTATATACAAAAACAGTGCAACTTACGTATTTGGATTCATAACATTTTGAAGGCACTTATACTTTCATAGCTCACAGTTTGAAATTTAGATTCTACTTCTTGCCACATACTCTCTTGTGGATTTAAAATTAAGTTAACACTGTCCTATTCATAGAACTGACATGGATAAACTTCCCAAAGTTGCCTTCTGTTGGTGTCTTAATTGTTATCAACTTATTCTGTTTGTAGGAATATAATAAAACTACCTCCCTGTGACATTTGAATTTATGCTGATAGGATGTCATTTTTAAATACTGTAAGGTTATGCATGGCATAACTGTGAATGCAACAAGATTCCATAGACTTTTTCTGTTAGTTATTCTGTTTTATGTGGTCTGGATTACTGAGTTTTTGGACTTATCCATTGTCTGGTATTCTAAAAAAACGTTATGTTTGAAAAACTGGATCTGGAGAAAAACAGATAGAGTTTTTTAAACATGTGTTCTTAAAATAATAGATGAGGATAAAGTCCAGAACCTCCGTAATCCAGATTGTAATAAACCATTGTCAGAACTGAAGATTTCTGTCTTCTGGGTTGTTGTGCTGTGTAACATCGACCAGTCTACACAGCGCAACAACCCAGAAGACAGAAATTTTCATATTCACCGTTGTGAAAACCTCAAATCTTACATTGTCAGAACCCTTTAGAATTGACTTATTTTATGTGGATTTGTTGTGTATTTATGGAGTGCCTGTGTGTAAGATGCTTACAAGTGAAAACATTTGAGAAGGGAAAATTTGTGGAATGGATGTCAGCATTATAAATAGTTAATAAATTGAGTGCTGTTCATTACGTTTATGTCGTGCATTTGACATCTAGTTGTGATCTGTATTCTAACTGCTTATATGTGTATAGGAAAAGAATACTTTTCTGCTCAGCTTATTGGAATCCAAATTATCTCATATTCCACAAAAAATAATTACTTGTGCTAAAGAACATGATTTATGCAAAACTGTTACTGCAATATCCATCTGAAAAGAATTTCTAAAGTTAACATGAAGGTTGCTAATTCTTACAATTGTTTTTCTCTGGGATTTCATGAAATAAAATTGCTGTCACTGTAGTATTTATATTTGGCAGAACTTGAAACTTGAAAGAAAAAGACTTTTGTAGACCTAGGCATAGATAATATTAAAATTGATTTTCAATAATACAGTGTGAGGGTGTGGACTGGATGCATCTGAGTATGCTTAAATTGTGGCAAGGAAATGTTTTCACCAGCTGAGCTTCTCACTAAGGACTCTGTTCCATATAGTTACTAAATTATACATCACATGGAGTTCAGAACTATAACAGAAGATATGTTATGTTTTGATGAATTACAATTTAAGTTTATTTGTATTGTTGGGAACACAACAAATAAGATCCTTTGTAGTTAGTTAAGGATGGAAATTTTTACTGTAGTATCAATTTCTTTGTATTTATTATGTGTAATGCTGCTTGTTTTGGTGAATTATCATTCTTATGTTGATTCAGTAACTAAAATTAATTATTCATCATAACATGTAGGGCATGCTGTTAGAATAGAATATAGCAGGGCAAGAAATTAAATATTTAGGACTCTGTAGATGAGGATTCTCTCGTCACAGAGCCTTTGTGTACACAGGACAGCACTAAGAAATGCAAACAAACATCTGTACTTTGAGAATTATTGAAACCCATGATTCTGAATGTTCTGTTCATAGTTTTATGTTGTATTGTGTGTCACTGTATGTAAACATCCTGATTGGTTTTAATCTGCACACACGACTTTGTTTCAGAGCTTTTTGATCAGTCCCAGTTTAGGCAAAATTATGTTTCTTATACTGTTTGTCATCCCCGTTTCTTGCCCAGAAAACCTTGCTAATTTGGACTTCGCTGAGTTGAAGCCTCTATAATGCAGACTGACTTCTTGTTCTATTTGATTTGAATGTTTTATATAATTTTTTTAATATAAATATTTTTATAACTTGTCATAATTGTTTCTTAATAGCATGTAAGTTAACATGTGTAGCTGGATTGTGAATTGATTTCGTGTTGTTATGACGGAACACAGAAGCTGTGTAGGGCGTCGGAGATAGGGTATTACCGCACGAGCAAAATTCTTGATACAAAACACTAGACCCTTAAAATGTGAGCCGTGTAGTTTGCTTGTTATGATTAAGTTTTTATCTGTTAAAATCAGAGGCTAATTTGCTTCCATTCTTGCAACATGGCCAAGCCAAGG